AAAGAGGCATTTACAAAAAGTCCTTTAGTTAATACTGGAGAAAAATCTCTCCAACTCAGCACCAAACATCAGCCCATCCTTATTGCTATCATAAAAATGATCTTTAGAATACTGAGTCTCTACATTTTCCCCACAATTAATGCGCGCAGTAATCTTGTACGTGAACAAAATACTTCTAATTAATGGTTATTTCTTAATATTCTCATTTCTCATAACTGGAAGATGACCTTTTAGCTGACGCTGATGGCCAACAGCCTCCCTCAGCTTTCCAAGAATAGCTGCTACCACCTACCATTCTCGAGATAAATTAAGTTAAAGATCACCCTTTGGAAAGGCAGCCAGAGCCTTCTGCCTTTTGCTCCCCTTCATACTTCTCTACTAACCAACAGCACAAAGGCCAACACCGGCATCTCCAAAAGTGACGCAGCTTTGGTTCCCTACAGCACAGCGATGGGAAGCCCAGCCTTAAGGGCCTCCTACCAGTTCTCTTAGGAGAGAGCAGGTATTTGGCAATTTTTTCATTAACATCCCATGAACTTTCATTTCTACAGCTTTGCTGTAAGGTGAGCTTGCTTTTTAAAAAGACCTCCAATCCTGAAATTATTTGTTAAAAGCCACCCTGTGGTATAAGGCAACTTCAACATGGAAGGGACAAGGATCTTCTGCTCATAGAGCTCAGAGCAGAAGAACAAGAGCAAAAGCAAACAAAAAGAAACCTGAATTGTAATCTCTGGCTATTTTGTTCTTTGATGCAGAATGGTGGTAAACTGGTGTCAAAAACCATGATAACGCCAGGACTTTTCAATGTTCCTGAGTATATTAAAAAAAAAAAAAAGAGTGCAAGGGTATGGGAAAACTCGTTGCAAGGACAAAAATTTAAAACAGCAGAACAGATTAAATATTTTTAAACTACTAGAGAAAGCATCCAGAATTTCCTTTAGTGCCTTTTCAGTGTTCACATATAAAGTTTCAGTGAAACAAGCAAAGGAATTCACAAAAGGAAAAAATGTTAAAGACAAAATAAAAACATAACTCAGGCCAACATCAGTTTCAGATACACAGTGCTACAGGGATATGTTTATCCCAAAGGCAGGAATTACAGCTAACGAAAGTTCAGATTTAAAGGTAAACTACTAAGAAATCTAAGAGTTGGAGAAAATTAAAATTAATCTGTCTAAGAAACCGCAGCCATCTGAGAGTCAGGTAAAGGAGAGAAGCAAGGTGAACGAATGTATGCTTAAAATCAGATTCAGTTGTTCTGATCCTGTAACATTAACGTGCCACCTGCATGATCAGTAGTTGACGTGGTCGCTGCAGGGTAGAAAAAGGACGGCTTTGTGCCTTAACTGGGCATTCCAAAGCAATGGGTTTGGATTTTGTACGCAACCTTTTATCTGAATTTCCCGAATTATAATGCTTGATTTAGGCTTCATTTCAACATCTCAAATAATACGATTGAAACGGTAAAAATTAACCATCAGGCTTTATCACTACATGAAAATAGACACTTCCTGCACCTCCTGATATAACAAACATTTAACAAAAACACACCCGGTATTTTTGTCTTCTGTTGTTAATAATCTCAAATACAGAATTCCATCTGAAAGGCATCCAGAGGGAACACTTACAAGTGAAAAGCAATCTGCCCTGTTTTAATTTTTTGCAAGCAGAGAAGCCTAGTGAATAAAACTTTCCAAACTGGTTGATAAAGTTTTAAAGATGCAATTTCAAAGCACCAAACGGCAGCAGAGCACGCCTTGAGGGAGCGATGCCGTCCTCGAGCACCAGCAGGCTGGAGGGTACCCAAAGCAGGTTCTCTGCTGCAGCAACTCAACCCAACTGAAGAGACAATATCTGCACATCATTCAAGTGCAATCTGTAAGGAACCTTTTATTTATTTAGGATTTGCTGTGCGCTTTAAAGCTGCTTTAGCTCATATTACCTTTTGCTGTGCCTGAATCAGCGCTAAGGCACAGTAACCAAGACTCCCTTCACCTGGGGGACTGGGACCAGTTTATTTTGCTGATCTCCTCTGGTCAGGAAGTGTCTTACCCATAATATCCTGCCCGCTTTTCATGCCAATCTAGTTTGGCAACGTTTGCCTACCCAGCTCGGATTTTGTGTTTGTTTGCAGGGATCTGTCCTTGTAGCTGTTTTTATACAGGGAGATCTGGCATACGAGTAAAATAAAACAGTGTGGGATGCAAAGTGATTTACAAACCACCACACCTACTAACGATTCTCTCCCTCCAACTTCCACAGCGAAAGGACCGCGTGTGGTCCCCGCCGCCTGGGCATCCCACCCCTCCCCACTAACCCTTCCGCTGAGCCATGCCGTTGGTCGCACCCTGCCGCCGTGCTCCTCCTCCACCTTCCCAAGCCATCCTTAACCTGCACCAGGTCCAGCATGGGTTACGGGTGTAGGCATCACCCCGGTATGGCAAAGAACATCTTTTTTTCCTCCAAACAATAGAGGTAACGGATCAAGAAGAGTATCGGGATCCAGTCTAACAGCAGTTTGATCTGACCCAAACTGAGGGTGATGGTTCTACCTCTTCCCTGCCCAAGGAGCTGAGCTGGCCAGAAACTAGCATGACAGATTACAAGCAAACAAACAAACAAACAAAAGATATTAATTTTTGGCCAGATCAGGTGTTAAACCACAGTATCTCCCAATGCACGAATACCAGAGCAGCGTTAGGGAGAGGCAGAACCTCACGACTGCGGCCTCAGACACACACCCCCCCCCCCCCCCCCTTTCTTCGACGGTCCCA